AGGATGAGGACGAGGAGAAGGAGGAATAGGAGGAGGATCGCAGGCATCCGGCGTCGTCAGATCAAAAGTCACGGCGGGCGTATTTTTTATGTGTCATTCGCGGTGTCCATCGCTCTCATTTGTCGGTTTCCCAGACGCGCACAAATGGCATACGACGATGATAAGCTGGTCCAGGGTCGAGAGCCCTGGGGCCCACGTGATCTTTCCAACTCGCGGCAGGCAGACCGTTCGACCGTTCATGCGGAAGTCCTTCTTGTTCCGCATTGTTTCCCGACTGACGGGCCCAGAGGGCGAAAGCGCCCCCTGGAGGCCGAAAGTGGGGGAAGCACAGGCTGCACTGATGCGCGAGGGCGGAGTGCGAGGCCGCGGTGCTCTGCACAGACAGCCCGTGGAGGCGGTCCCGGGCCAGCTGGCCGGCCCACGGCCTCCTGCTCCTCCTCCTCCTTCTCCTCCTCATCTTCCTCCTCCCGTCCTCCTCCTCCTCCTCCTCCTCCTCCTCCTCCTCCTCCTCCTCCTCCTCCTCCTCCTCCTCCTCCTCCTCCCCCTCCTCGAGGCTCGAGGATCAGCCAGGGAATGCCTCGGGGTGCTGTCCCTGCCCCGGAGCTCTAGCATATCTGGGAAGCAAGCAGCAGCGAGCCGTGCTTTCCTCGCAAGCTCTGGCTTCTGGGGGGGGGCCGCCCTCCCGCACGGGGGCCGTCACAGAGAACGACATGGGTCGCCCCTCCCCCTCCTCCTCCTCCTCCTCCTCCTCCTCCTCCTCCTCCGCCTCCTCCCTCCTCCTCCTCTCTCCTCCTCCTCCTCCTCCTCCCTCCTCCTCCCCCTCCTCCCCCTCCTCGAGGTTCGAGGATCAGCCAGGGAATGCCTCGGGGTGCTTTGGCTTCTGGGGGGGCCGCCCTCCCGCACGGGGACCGTCACAGAAAACGACATGGGTCGAGATGCTCTGGTAAAACGACGCGAAGATCGGGACAAAATCGGATCGGGATAACTCGAACTCTCTGAGAATCGGCGGGTTTGGAGGATGTACTGGGCGCCGCGGCCGCTTCAGAGCGTTCCGGAACGCTCTGAGAGCGCTCCGGAACGCTCTGGAGCGATTTATCCCGATCCTAGCCTTGTTTTATTTGGGGCGGAGAAGAGGGGGGTGATGACTAGGGGGGGGGTGGATATCATGGCACGGGCCATGATATCTCCGCAGATCTCATGGCGCCTCTTCTTATTTCATTACGTCCCAGGCCCCCCTCCGCTGGGCCGCGCACATGCCGCCGGTCATGATTTGCACCCCCCCCTCTTGGACACCCCCCTCTTGGCCGCTCCCGAGAGGCTCTGGGGGCTCGAGAAACGGGGGTCTATGCAAACGGGGGTCAGTCAGAGCGCCCGGTCGCTCAGGATCGCACGCGCCTCACACGCTTCGCGGCCTCGCAGGGAGCTCCACCGAAGGCCCAAGTGCCAGCGCTCGCATGCGCCCACCGCGCCCATTTCTGGCACACTCCTCACACGCTTCGTGGCCCTGCAGGGCCAGGGGTGCACTGACCCGGGTTATGGTGCAGGATCTTGCAGGATCCTGCAGGATCCTGCAAGGCCCGAATGGCCCAGGTCTGGATGGACCTGGGTCAGTGCGTCCCCGAGGCTCGAGGGCCAGCGGCCACGTGTGCACAGAAATCACGACGTCCAAGGTCGGAGACTGCCTCTGGGAGCCGACTGTGGGCAAAACCCCAGCTTCGGCCCCTCGCAGAGGGGGGTATGGGGGAGGGGGGAAGGCTTCTCATGAGCACCCCTGCTTCTTGGGAGGCGGGGGCCTTGTCTATATCGATGTAGGGCCGGCGCCGACCCAGAAGCGGCCTCTTTCTAAGAAGCCTCCCCCCTCTCCCTGCCCCCTCGTGCGCGCCGCCAATGGCAGCGGAGGCCCATGCCAAGAACACCCTGCTTGTCTCAAGGGTGCCCTGTATTTCTTGACTTTCGATGGTTTTACTGCGGCGAGCGGGACGTTCCCACACCAAAAATCAATGAACGTCCTGGGGTCTCATGGTTGGGTTTCCTGTGGAAGGTTTGTTGTGGAAGGCCCCCTACTGTATCGACTACACGTAAGACCCGTCGCCGGAGTGACATTTGGTGCAGGCCCACTGGGGGTCCCCTCATGGCCGGACGCGATGCGGTAGTAGCGTCTTGCGCTCTTGGGTTTGGCACCCCGAGGCCCTCCCTGAAGCCGCGCACCAAAGGTCACTCTTGCCTAGGGCCACTCTTGCGTGTAGCCGACCCGCGCCGCCGACAGACACGAAGCCGAAGAGAGGGACGACGACGAGGACGACGACGACGAGGACGACGACGACGAGGACGACGACGACGAGGACGACGACGGAGACGACGAGGACGACGAGGAGGAGGACGACGACGACGACGACGACGACGACGGCGACGACGACGGCGACGACAACGACGGCGGCGGCGACGACGGACATCCGACGTCGCGCTTTTCTGCCGGCGTGGGCCTCTGGACTTCCCGATCCCGCCGGCCACGGGCCTCCCCGGGGCCCGTGGCCGAGGACGGGTCGGCTGCCACGGCCCTGCCCCTGGCATCGCTCGGACGCGTGCATTTTTTCTCGGCGAGGGCGATCGAGGAGCATCCTTGGGAAAAACACACTGTAGGAAAAACACACAGACTGTGTTTTTCCCACGTGTGTTTTTCCAACGTGTGTTTTTCCCACAGACTGTGTTTTTCCCACAGGTGTGTTTTTACGTCCCTGCCCCTGGCATCGCTCGGACGTGTGCCTTTTTTCTCGGCGAGGGCGATCGAGGGGCATCCTTGATCAGTTGGCGAAAACACCGCGCACGACACCGAAAAAAAAGCACAGGGAATGGGCGTCCGAGCGATGGCCAGGTGCCCCGAGGGAGCGAGCCAGCACACACACAGGCACGAGCCATCGTCGGTTCCCAGGAGAGCGGTTGGGGAAAGTGCGGGAAGTGTTAGGTGGGAAGACGAGAATCAAGAGAGAGTATGAGAAAAGATGCGGGGTCCTGGGAGTCGTGTGTACCTCTGTGAGTGTCCCTGGGCCCCCATCCACAAGAAGCACACAGACGTACGGTCGGGAACTTTTGGTTGGCGTGCCGCGCCGCTGGTCCTGGCCCACCGCGCGTCGGCGTGACGCGCTCTCTACGTCCCGGTCACCATGAGTCCACGTTCAACGCCTTTCCCAGCCTCCCGCAGCGCGGAGCGGAGAGAGACACACCATCGGCTCGCAGGGCACGGCTGCGGCCCGCGAAGCAAAAGCTCCCGACCGCAAGCTTACGCATTCAGAAGGGGGGGAAACATGGACACGAGCAATCGGTGACTCCCAGGAAAATATGGGAGAATATGGGAAGTGGGGGGGAGAAGAAAACCCAGAAGATATGGGGCACATGTGGGAAAATATTGGGAAATATAGGGAAATATGGGAAGTGGGGGGGAGAAGAAAACCCAGAAGATACAGGAACGTATCGGGAATCCTGGGGTTTGTGCCTGCCTGTTTGTGTGTCCCTGGGCCCCTTCACGAATGTCCGCCCGGATGCTTTTTGGACTGGCGCCGGACCTTTCTCCCTGGACCCCTCCCCCCTCGCCATGGTTGTGGAGGGCGGTCAATCGAAGGGGGGGCATGTTGCCAAACAGTTCCCAGATGTTCAGAACATGTATTAAACATGTTTTCTTCTCCAATATATATATGTTCAACATGTCTTAAGCATGTGAAAGGCTATGCTTAAAACATGTTCAGAACATGTCTCAAACATGTGAAACATATGTTTTGTTCAGTGATCGGATTGTTAGGGTGTCCACTGTCATGGCATCCACAACTCCATGGGCGGCGCCGGAGGCGCCGCCCAGGCGGGCCGGCGCCGAGCCAAGAAACCTGCGCGCGGAGCTCTGAACGTTTCTGCTCGGATCAGCAGTTGCTGTCTGCTTCCCCGTGCTTCGCATCGCCAGACCCAGACCCCCTCGGGCAAGGAAAAAATAGTGGCGGGAGGTGTTTTGCAATTTTCGGCCTCTGGGGGCCCTCGGCGGCCCTCGGGACCGTCAAAAAACGACTCAGGATGAAAAACCGGCCCAGGGGAATGGGTCGAGATCTCCAAGGGTCGACGTAATGAACAAAGCCATGACGTCGGGAGTTTGGGGAGGCCAGGGAGGTTTTGCCAAGGCGGAGGGGGGAGGAGTGGGCCACTGCCCAGCAGGGCTGGTCCAGCCGAGGACCCGATGAACTGCTTGGCGCGGCACGCCTGTGGCGTAGAAATTTGCTCTGTGCACGGTGGACGGCTGGGCCGCGCCACGAATGGCCGCAGAATTCGGTGCAGGCTCCGAGCGGGAGGGCGTCCGAGATTGGGGCTGGTCGGCATCACCTAAACATACTTCTACTATGTGATAGTTTCCTTATAGAGCCGATCGGCGTGGGACCTCGCATTCCCCCCGTGCAGTAGACCTTGGCTGTTTCGGGCGCCTGTTATGAGCAGGTGGAGTCTCCCCCACAGGACGCAGCGTTGCAAACGGTCGCGCAGTGACGCAGAGGTCCGGAGCCAGACCCCCCCTTCCCCTTCTCGCCCAGTGTCGAAACGCCGAATAAGAAATCGTTCGCCTGTGCGAGGCGCTCATCAAAGTGGGCCCTGCGTCGGAGGGCCGAAGCAGTTGTCTTTCTTTCCCTCGGCGGCAGGGCGGCGGAGGGTCGACGGAGGCACGGACGAGGCCGCCCTTCGCTGGCCGAAGCCGGCGGGCGGGAGGCGGGCGGCAGGCGGCGGAAGCAAGAGGTGCGCTCCCCAGGAGACGAAAGCGTTTCTGGGTCCACAATCTAGAACATGCCACCCCGAAAAAAAACCATCGGAAGTGATTCCACATGCGGTGTCGATGCGTTTGTTTTCTGGTCCGCAGACAGAAGCCCCCCCCACTTTGGGGCGTCGCCGCGTCATGCTATGTCAGACTACTCCAGATTTTGTAATAAAAGGGAGGGGGTCTGGACCCTCCAAGACAAGCCATTTCAGACCTCCCCCCGTGGGAGAACCCTCCAAAACATCGTCCCCAGACCCCCCAGGCCCTCCAAAATAGCCTGGAAGAGACACCCCTCGAAATGAGACCCCCCTCCCTTTATTACGAAATCTGGAGTACGCATCCTCATGCCCGCGCTTGCGCGCCTGGATTTGTTTTCAGAGGTTCCGAGATCGCCCGTGCGTGCCCGCCCCCCCCCCCGGGGGGGGGGGGGCGCGGGCGCTCCAAAGCCTGGTGGTCCTACGCTCGGTGGCGGGTGCTCTCTGGCCGCACCGCCTGGGCAGCGGCGCGTTACAGTCGGGGCCCTGAAGAGGGAGCCCTTTTCGTCTGGGAGGGGCTCCGTGCTCCTCAAATGGTTTCGCAGCTTGCCTTGGATTTTCCTTGGGTTTTCGATGCGAAATCGAGGTTCTACTTGTGGAAAAGAGGGGCCTCGTTCCTTATTTCTAGGGTTCCTTAGGTCAACGCCTCGACTGTACAAGATGTTGGTACGTACGTGCATGTCTGGCTCGGGCAGGCGCAGGGCGGGAGCCCGGGCCCCCAGTGGCCCCGAGAAGCCTCCGGCGGCCCAGCCTCTCCCCCTCCGCGGTGCTCCAGCGCCCGGGCGGGCCAGCATCCCTGGCCCCCTGCCGAGCAAGAGCGGCCCGGGATGCAGAGCCGGCTCCAGTCTGCGACCGACTGCGAGTCTTACCTTAAAACGACGCGAAGATCGGGACAAAATCGGATCGGGATAACTCGAAATCTATGAGAATCGGCGGGTTTGGAGGATGCATTGGGCGCCGCGGCCGCTCCAGAGCGTTCCGGAACGCTCTGAGAGCGCTCGGGAACGTTCTGGATCGATCAATCCCGATCCTAGCCCTGTTTTATACCTTGGCGGGTCCAGTCGACGCAGCGGCATCAGACATCTTGCCAGTTTGAAGCATATCCCTATCCCCATGTTTGACATCGCCTCACCTCGATGCCGATCTTGAGGATTCCCTCCGTTTCTGAGGGCCTATCCCTAAGATTGTCCCCGCTTTTTGTTCGCCCATCTTAGGGATAGGGATATGTTCGAGGCGGGTTAACATCCCCGCTGGGGTTCGTTTGGCTGCAGGCATTCTTCGGATTCTGAGCCCCCGCCGGTGTTTCAGGAATCTGACCTGCAGGGGTAGGGTTCGCACGTGCTTGCTCATCCAGCGAAGGGGGTCCGTTCTGTCGGGGGCGTCCAAGAGGGGTGCTGGGTGACGGGGCGTGTGGATATCATGGCCGGCGCCACGAGATCTCCCCGCTTTCGTAGCCTACTCCTACACAGACGCGATCAATCGTCGATTCCCAGGAAAAGACAGGAAACTATATGAAAATATTGAAATCTATGGGGGGTGTGGGGGGAAGGCGAAAACCCAGAAAATATGTGAAAGTATGGAACATCCTGAAATCTGTGTGTATTTCTTTGTGTGTCCCTGGGCCCCTTCACTCTTGCTTTTTCAGCTCGTTCCCTGCTCCCCCCCCCCGTAGGCGCACGTTCTGGGCTATGATGTGCGCTGACCCCCCTCGTCCTGGCGCCCTCCTCTTCGGCGCGCCAGAGATCCTGGCGCGTCCGCGCCTCCAGTGGGGGGCGAGGGCAAGAAGGTCGTCTTCGTCTTCGCTCTCCCCCAGCCACGCGCACAGGGGGGCCGGGGAAGGGGGGGAGGGCTTCTTGGAAGCACGTCTTGCTGCTCAGAAGGCGCGGGCCTCATCTGTAGATGTAGAGGCCGGCGCCTTCTAGGAAGCAGCCTCCTTCTGAGAAGCCTTCCCCCCTCCCTGATGGGCTTCTTTTCCACCACCACCACCACAAGTTGGAGGGGGGAAGGAGGAGGAGGAGGAGGAGGAGGAGGAGGAGGAGGAGGAGGAGGAGGCCCCTCTCCCTCCAGCTTCTGGTGGTGGTGGGGATGGAAAACAGGCCCATCACTCCCTCCACCCCATGGTGCGCACCGCCAAAGCTCCTTTCCGTGCCGCCGGCGGGCGGCACGGACTCACCCCTGGCGACGGGACGAGCTCGCGCCCGACCTCCGGGAGGACGAGCGGGCCCCGCGGGGCCCCAGTCGAGGCCTCCCAGGCCCAGCTTCGCTCCTCGGACGAGTCGAGCGGTTGGAGGCCTGGGGAGGGAGCACGATCTGGCCGCCGGCGCGGGCGTGGTCGGGACCGGGGCTCATCGGCAGCGCGCCGCCGCCCTGCTCGGGTGCCTCTTCGAGCGGGGCAGCATGTCCTCGCTACGAATGTCGGGTCGGACGACTGGGGGGGGGGGCGCTCTCCTCGATACGGAGGAGGAGGCGGAGGAGGAGGAGGAGGAGGAGGAGGAGGAGGAGCCGGGACAACCAGCTACGTGAGCTGACTCGCTGCCCCCCCCGTTGCTATCCCCCCCCCTCTCTCGTCCGACCCGAGGGTGTGTTTTTTAGAGGTGCGGTCTATCGACAATTCGAGGCGAGGGCTCGGATCTGCACGTCTGCTGCATGCTCTGCAGAGCATTCGCAGAGAAGGGCGCCGCAGAAAGAGATGCTCGTGCATTTGAAGTTCCTGGCGTTTCGCCCTCCCTCATCCAGTGCCTCCCGCTCCTTCCTCCAGACGCTGCCCCCCCGTCCTCCCTTCCTTCTCCCACCTTCGATGATGATGATGATGATGGTGATGATGGTGATGATGATGCTGCTGCTGATGATGCTGTCGATGATGATAATGATGATGATGATGATGATGATGGTGATGATGATGATGATGCTGATGGTGATAGTCATGGTGACGATGATGCTGATGATGATGATGATGATGATGATGATGATGATGATGATGATGATGATGATGATGATGATGATGATGATACTGCCGCTGCTGCTTCTGATGCTGCTGCTGATGATGAGGATGATGATGATCATGATGACGATGCTGCTGACGATGATGACGACGATGCTGATGATGATGATGACGCGGATGATGATGATGATGATGATGATGCTGATGCTGATGCTGATGCTGATGATGATGATGATGATGATGACGTTGATGGTATTGGCGATGATGATACTGATGCTGCTGATGGTGATGATGCTGAGGCTGCTGCTGATGATGATGCTGCTGCTGATGATGATACGGCCGCTGCTGCTGCTGATGATGCTGATGCTGATGCTGATGCTGATGCTTATGATGGTGATGCTGATACTGATGCTGCTGATGCTGCTGATGATGATTATGCTGCTGAATATGAATGATGCTGCTAATGATGATGATGATGATGATGATGATGATGATGATGATGATGATGATGATGATGATGATGATGATGATGATGATGATGATGATGATGATGATGATGATGATGATGATGATGATGATGATGATGCTGATGATGATGATGATGATGAGGAGGAGGCGGAGGAGGAGGAGCATGAGGAGGACGATCAGGAGGAGGAGGAGGAGGAGGACGAGGAAGAGGAAGAGGATAAGGAAGAGGAGGGGGAGGAGCTGGAGGAGGAGGAGGAGGAGGAGGAGGATGAGGAAGAGGAGAAGGAGGGGGTGCATTGTGCTACTTAGGGCTCGCGCAGATGACACCTACCACGCAAGACGCCTTCTTGTCGTTCAAGTCTGAGCTTGCAAGGGCTTTCCCGTTGACGGACCGCGGCCCTCCCACACACGCGTCAGTCGACCCTTGGCGTCAGTCGACCCTTGGCCGGGCGGGCTTGCAGCCGTTCTTCACAAGGTGCGACCACTTCCACTGAGCGTAGGAAGCGCAACGCTTGCAGAATACAACACTGGGGCGACACATCAGGTGATGTCCCAACCTCTGTGCATCGAATTCTCGGGCTTCTCGGGCATCGAATTCGACATATTCTACGCCCGACGGCCCGCTCGGAGTCCGGATCGTGGCCTGTGGAGCTCGACGGTCCCACTGGAGGAGGAGGAGGCGTCAGAGGAGGAGCAGGGTTCGATTCGGCAGCCTGGCTCGGGTCGATTCCCGTGATGCTACTCGGTTTGACGTCGGTAATCGTGTCGGCGACATTGGACGACATTACGCCTAGCCTGACAGCACATTTTAGGGCATCAGTTACCATGGTATACTTCTGCTGATAAGCCTGACGCTGCCAGAAAGGATGCTCGCAAAACTTTGCTCCTTTCCTCGCGTATTCGTCCGCGAAGCTGTTGCCTCTGAACAGTCAACAGTCTCTCGCCAATCTCGCGCCGCTGAGCGCGCGTGGCGTGGTTTGACTATTCGAGGCGCATCACAGTGGCAATGAACGCGCCTGCTGGCCCTTTCACAGGGCCCCACGGCCTCGGTCGCCCATGGAGTCGCATGACCCACGAGCGCCAGGCCTGCACCAGGAGGTCGCGCGTTGCCACGTCCGTCGCCTCCTGCCACGCCCTGGCCCACCCACTCCATGATGGGCCCCGCGTTGGCGAGCACGGCTGGGTCGGCGTCCTCCGCCAGCAGCACCAGCGCGCCCGACCTCGGTGCCGCTGGGGAAGTCCGCCGTGACCGACCGCCTCGGCTTGGCGATCGGCGTGTCAGGGCCCCTCTCCTGGACGCGCGTGCTGTAGAGCTCTGACAGCACGATCCCGAGCCTGACCATCTTCTCTGCTGTGCCTCCTGCAGCCTTGACCCGCTGAATCTTCCAGCTTCTGGCCATACCTGCATGACCCGCTTGGACTGGACTCCGACACGGCGCTGCCGCGCGGTTGATTGGGTCACGCCCAACTGCACGGCCTCGCGCACCATTTGGATGCCCATTTGCTTGCTGTGGCTGCCAAGCTGACGCTCCACGCTACCATGGGAGGCCGCGACGACAGTCTTGCCGTCCTTGCCCCTCTAGACCTGCAGCTTCAACACCTGCTGGAAGACGGAGATGATCTCGTCGGTCAGCTTCGCGTGGATCGCCGCCACAGTGGCGAGGTCGCCTCGGATCGATGCTGCAAGGTCATCTACGTAGATGCACATGTTCGCTCTCGGCCTGGCGACGTAGATGCCGTCGATGACGCCGATGATAACGAGGGACAGACACAGCGGACCGAACATGGATTCTGCCACGACCCCTGTGCCCAGACACCGCCTTCGGTGTAGCACCCGTTCAGCGCCACACTTCTCATCGATGGAAACACGCGCGATGTGACAATGTGGCCCGTTTCTGCCATGAGACCCTGTATCCATGCCGCGCATTCAACCGACCTGTCTCCCACGGCCCAAGTTCCTTCCGCCGACCTGCCTTCTCCGACCTGCCTTCCACGGCCTTCCGCATTCGGGAGGGAATGCCCAAGTTTCTCGTGCTGCCCTTGGGCTTGGGCCGCAGCCAGGAGATGACGCACTGCTGCGAGACGGGCCAGTTAGAGCCGCGCTCGATGCAGTTCAGGATGCTGGCCAGGTCAGCTAGGCCACCGGCAGGCCCTTGTGCCCAAAGCCTGGGGTGGATGCTGGATTCGCTCGGGCCCGTCTTGGGAGAGCAAGCCTTCCAGGCGTGCTGCACGTGGTGACCGAGGATCGGTGGCAGCATGGGCTCGTCCTCCGCAGGCGACTCGAAGCATGACGCTGCCCGATCGACATTGTGATGCCATATGCTCTCCCACTCCTGCAACGCTGTGCCGGCGACCGTCTTCGGGTCCATCAGGGCAACGTGCTTGGACGTCTCTCCCGCGGGGGCTGCCTCTGGTGGCGCGCCGGAGAATATGAACAACAATGGAACTCTGAAGAGTCCATTCGTTTTCGGGGTGTGGCGTGGGCGACTCGAGGGCTGTCGACCTGTCGCTCGCCTTCGCGGGTACCATGGGATCCCACGGGACCCTCGGCTTGGTCAACTCGTGCAGGGCCCCCGCTGACTTTCGCTGCGACTGCGAGCCCAGGCCCGCCAGGATTCGGTGGACTCCTTCCGCTGGCTCTGTCTCTCCTCGTCTGCCTCGCCGGCCGCAGCCTGCTGCCAGCACCGGAGGTATTCCAAGCCAAGTGCTCTGGGAACTTCTGCGGTTCCTGCATGGGGCCCAGGATGGTCTCGAAGGCGTGGCGACCACGGGGTCTTCGGCTCCTCGGCGCACGGGTGGCGCCCGACGAAGGCCCACTTCTGGACCATCGCATCCCTGATGGACCCGATCTGGACCATGTCCTGAACCTCTACCTCGTGCGAGCCCCCGCTGACGATGAGGTTCAGATCTTGCAGAAGACTCGCCACCCATTCTGTCGCCATAGCTCGCGTCGTCGGGGCTCCCTTGTCCCTGGCCGTTGGGGTCGACAGCTATCGTATCTTGTAGACGGCCAAACTTCTTGCCATGCCAACAGTGGGCCAGCAGCTCTTTGCCGTGAAAGCAATGGCATCGGTTCCAGTGCATCTCGTGCGCATGCCTTGGATCGTTCTTGAACGCGTTCAGAGTCTCGTGGTCCACGAACTCCCGAGGGAGACGGCGCGGCCACTGGCCTGGAGGTGTAGGGCAACCCGTCGGCCCCTAGGCACAGCCAAGGGCCAGGGCACCCTCTGGATGAGCCGGAGGGCTTGTGGCACAGTCGTGCAGCGGCCCAACTGTAAGTTATCATGACAGGCCTGCTGGGCTTGGCCTCAAACGCCGTCATGACAGTGGCTTCGAGCCCGTTCTCCAGCAGGCTCTCGGATACGATGAAGTACGGTCGGGCCGAGATATCAGATCGAGGTCGGTTCGGGGAGGGTACCCAAGTGTTCTTCGCGTCTGTTGGATGTCCTCGTGCGTCCTGGAGGAAGGTCCCTCGAAGGTTCTTCAGTTTGGTCAGCAGAGGGTCTCATGTTCTTGACGGATGTTCTTCTGTCCTAGGCCCGGCCGTAGTCCCTGACAGAGCAGTTGCCCGTGCTCCCCCTGCACGTGCCTTCACTCTTGCCGTACACCAGGTGGCCCCTCATCTTGGAGAGGATCCCCGTTTCCAGCAGCTCCTCGGGCGACATGTTGAAGTCGCCGCCAAGCTCCCACGGCTGGCCTTACACAGCCTTGAGAGCCCCAAAGCGGCCGAGGACGGTGAGGTTGCGGGTCGAGGGCGCCTCTGACACCCACAGGTACGCGGAGCCCGCCGCGATGCCGTGCCGACGGCACATCTTGACGTAGCCCACGCAGAGTCTCCCTGGCGACTCCTTGGGTGCGATAGCCCCAGCTCGGGCAGGCAAGTTATCCCCATGCGGCTTGGCACCACGAGCATTACACCTGCCCTCATGCTTTCCTTGGTCGGTGCGCTGGGCACCACTGCAGCCTTCCAGTCGTATTTGATCAGCCTGGCCGACAGCAGCTCCACTTGCCTGGGCGCCAGCTGGAGCTCCTGGCCGAAGACGACTGGTGCCTCGACCTGGTAGCGCAGCTGGTGCAGCGCTTCCTCGAACTGGTTGGATCTCGGCAGACTCGACTCCCACATGGCGAAATGAAACCCAACAGCCATATTAGCAAGTATTGTATGTAGCATCGGCCCGTGCTTCTGGACGTTTGACTCCTTCCTTGACGCCTGCCTGCTTGAGGGCGGCTGCAATCTCCTGCGGGGTGGCCTTGGCCGTGGCCTTGAGGTTGAG